AACAATAAAAAATAAGGTATGTATAATGGAGTGCATGCAATGTAATAAATCTTTCAGCAGTAAGCAGCGACTGCAATACCATCTTTCTAAAAAGGTTTGTCAAAAGACCGTAAGCACCCTTTGCGGTGACTGCGGCCGAGAGCTGTCCACCCTCCAAGCCTTACAATATCACCGTGATAACAGGGTCTGTCTTAAGAACTGCTGCCGCCGCTGTGATGAGCCCTTCTTTGAAGGGAACTGGCATAAGTACCGCTGTCGCCGTTACCACCTCGACGGTATTACCTGTGAAACCCACGGTGACATAGCCGAACGCTGTTGCCCCCTTGAAACCTCCCGGGCGCTGACGAAGCGTAAGAAGGAAATTGACCAAACCTTTGTAGGCTTTGACGATGTTGAGGGCGTTAGATGGGAGGACAGGGAACACTGGGAGGCTATTTGCGATCGCTGCGGCTGTCAACGGAGTGGACAACATATTTGGTGCTGTCTATACGACGGACCACGTCCTTTAGACCATTACCTGGCGGTACGAAAGGCTTGGAAAAAAGAAAATATCTAATATATACAACATGTCGGAAACTTCATACTTTGCGTTTAGCGTACCAATAGTGGGAGCCGTAGAATCTTTTTCCCAAGATCCAGAATTCGCTCGCGTAAGAGATACCGTTGGCATGACCCTATGCCCCCTCTGCAATGCAATTTATTCAGCAAAGCGGCCTGCTGCTCTTCATACCAACGATGAAATAGTAGGAGCTTGGAATGAGGCAAAGAAAACGACACCAAGGGTAATAGTTCGTAAAGACGACAGGATAGAATAGATATATGATACCTCAAATTGCAGCATTCATAGGTGGAGCCTTAATTACCGTATCCGCTTATTCGATAAGAGAAAAAATGAGGTCCGCCGCAGCAGACCAATACCTCACGAAGATGATTAATCACACAAAGGATTAGCATCTACCTTCCTTTCGACGTCGAACTTCCATCGACCGCTGACCTTACCATAGCTGCGTATGTGCGTGAATTCCTCACCTTGAAGGACGTACCTCACGCAGTCCGGTGCCCATAGCGTGCACTCTTTACCGTCGCATTCCAAGACCA